GGAAATTTGAATCAATTGTTCTACAGCCAACTCTAAATCAGACAGACCAAAAGACTGTAAAAAGTTTCCCTCATCCATGTTTCAAAATGTCACACCGCGCTTTTAAAACTTTTTACACAAAGCCAAMACAGTATTCAACACTTGTTGCAGCAGCTCCAACCTTTCCAATCTTTCAGGATCCGGGCAAGAATCGTCTCCTTCCCTCAATGCGTCTCTGCCCTCTGATTGTTCCCGCTCTGGTTGTGCTTCCAACTGTGCTTCCAATTGTGCTTCCGGCTGTGCTTCCGACTGTGCTTCTGGATGTGGTTCTGGCTGTGCTTCTGGCTCTGGTTCTGGCTGTGCTTCTGGCTCTGGTTCTGTGGTTTGTACCCCACAACTCCTTTGCTCCACAGCTGTAACAAAAGAAGAGGATGTTTTAATTCAAAAGACCTTGGCCTTCAATATTTAGAAAAGATCACTTTATCATGAGCAAACATGGCCTACCTTGTTGACAGACACAGGGTTTTTTCGCTCTAGGTGACTCTGTCACAGACCTCTCGAGAGAAGAGACAGAAGGTTCTGTATAGAAAATAAAATAAATAAATAAATAAATAAATATATAGATATGATTATGCTTTGTTATTTCCCACCAGTCATCACCCCTTACCCTTAAATAGTACATAATCGACTTACCCGGTTCTTGACTTATACCGTCGCCAGATTCTCTGAGCAGTTCTCTCAAATGTCCTAGGATGGGGGCTTCTGTGTAGATTTCCCGATGGCGACGTCTTAACCGCAAACGGTTAGTCCGAGGACGACTTTTTGCAGGGGTAGTGCTCGGTGTGATCTGACTGTCTGGAGTGGCTCCTGCGCTGTCGATTAASAGCAGGCTGGATACAGGCAGATTTCTAACCCCTTCTAGACGGTTAGCCCCTTCTAAAAAATATATATATATGTAGCACCTTTGGTCCTGACTTTTAGGTTAAAGAGACATCACATCGCTCTAGGTCCGGTAGGAGTTGCACCAGGAGTTTACTCACAAAAAGGAGTGGGTGTGGTTTAATTTGAACAGGTGACACTTTAATATCAATGCACAACAATAATAACATTGACAGCTTAGCTGTACTTTTATTTACCAAATAAGGCGCCACAAAAATAAAAAAAACACAAAATCAGAGTCCATTGAAGTTGAGCTCTCCAACTCAAGAATGTTCAGTTCTGAAAAAGGGATCCAATTGTGTGGATGTTCTGTATCAATGTCCATTCAAGTATTTCATCCTAAATCTCTACTACCCRGGTAGGTGAAGAGTGTGTGTGTCTTATCTGTTCTCAGAATGTGTGATTCAGATGATCTGGAGTCTCAAGGTAGGTTCTGTGGCTGGCCACACCACATCTCCAACTCTCTCTCTCTCAGAATCGCTGGGCTGGGCTCGCCATCTTAATTGTCTCTCTCACAGAATCGCTGGGCCGGGCTCGCCATCTTAATCGTCTCTCTATCTCTCTGATAGTTGATCAGACTAGCACGAAACAAAAAAACCAACCTACACAGAAAGTGCAAAGTTGTAAGGATCTTCATCTGATTCTGTCTCAGTTTCTTATGAGATCTCAACATTTTCAGCTCTAGCTCTAGGCATGAAATGTATTACCAAATATCAAGGAAATACATACACACACTAAAATGAATTACTATGAATTAGTTTAACCATAAATGTAACCAATTATTCATGAATTACCATCCACAACAGTGTCATTTTTAACAGATACATAACTTATGCATCCCTTTTAACTTCTATTTTACTTATATCATCAATTTTTA